GATCTTAGCGCTACGACTACTGTAAGCCTATGTAAAAGTATGGGAGTTAAGATCATCTTAGCACTAAGATCGCTTTGTGCAAGTGGGCCCAGGTCATAAGGACTTAATCCTCTGTATGATTAAGATCTAATACATAAAGACGTTTGACGTTAAAGGGAAAAAATGGTCTACTCAGATACAATAGCAATATACAAGGTACACACAAGGGATAAGGTAGACCTCAATAGTTGGGCAACAAAGCCACCACAGTAGATGTGTCGCCCAATTCCATCACTATCAAATCATTTCACATTGTGACTCTTTCTTTAACTCGAGACTGTTGGATGGAGGCTGCATTCCTTGACTAAATATCTTGAGGTGGAGGTATAAGTGATATAGATGTTATCATGCGAGTGTGATTGAGGATGGTAAATATCCTGCATAAGGAATGAACATTGTATTTACAATTTAGCGAGCCTTGGCGAGGTTTCAAGCCGCAGAGGTCTACAAGCACAGATATGGCTACTGATCCAGCTTGTCTAGGCCTTGTGAGTGCCCTCGCAAAATTGTTTCGAAATTTATATCTCTAAAGTGCCTTAGCTGAGTCACAGTTAGACACTGATTTTCAGTATATTAGACTGTTCTTTGGATAATGATGGCAATTATACCTGTAGTTTATCCAGATTCCCGATGGTTAATGACAAGGGCGACGCCATGTTTGTTTATAAACACTGAAAGTAGTCCCTACTTGACCTTTGATATTTGCATCTCTATCCGCGTATGACCCCAACGGATATCGTTTTTATCCGTTGGCTTTATCCAGCCGAGAAACATACCCATTATATGATAAATTGTTTTACATTGCACACACATATATTTAACCAATGAACCATTTGATCATGAACGCGACGTAATTGTGTAAGTTCTCACCTCAGCTTCTTACAAGAATTTTGAGTTTTGTCAATTTACATGTTTTACAAATACAGACCTTGATTATATATTCAATACCAAAGGGCACACGAAGGTGAATAGTGAGTGAGTGAGTTGGGTTTAACGCCGCTTTTAACAGTGTCAGCTTAATGTTGGAGAGGAGACCGAAGTGATGCAGGTCTCAGACCCACGAGCACGGGTATGGTGCTGACAAACATAGAAACATAATCGGGGCGAACCGGGATTCGAACCCACGATCATAGGTTTCTGGCGTGCCAAGGGACGCAACTCAGCACAGCGACTCGCGGCGCCTTAGACGACTGGGCCAGCCGTGCCCCACAAAGGTGAATAACTCACACATTTTATAATGTACAGATTATTTTTTTTACAGAAAAATTAGGGTGAGAGTAGTGTAGATGGTGATAGTGCAAATAGTTGACGACCGGGTTTTAATGGGGAGGGGATCGGAGGAGGCTCAGGAGGGTTTATCAGTGGGTGGAGGGTTGGGGTTTAGAGGGGTTAGGGTGGTGGAAGGTTGGCGTTGGGGTGGTTGAGATGGTGGTTGATTGCATTATAGATGGCTGAGATGGAGATGGAGTTTTTGAGGATGGTTGAAGGGTGGGGTTTAGGGGGTATAATTGGTTGGATGGAGATTGTTGGTGTGGGGATGGTAGAGGGCTGGGGTAAAGTAGATGGGCCGAGAGGGTTGTGCTATTGGAGGTGGTAGATTTGCATGATGGTTGGGGGCTTGGGTTTTGCCGATGGTTTGGGGGCTGGGGTGTAGCGATAAGGTTGTTGGCTTGGTAGTTTGGGGTTGGGGGGCGGTGGGTTTGCGGCTGGGATGTAGGGATACTGTTAGTTGGGGACTGGGGATTAGGATATGGGTGAACTATATACTAATAAGAATAGTTTTGCCGTTTGTTAACATAATCCAGTGATGAAGCAGATAAAATAATAATATACAGAACAATCAAGGTATCCGATATTTCATAAATATATTTTTGTAAAGCTTTCGTCGCCTTCCTTTGAATTATCAGTACGGGTAATGACGAATCTTATACAAATAATATATAGTATTACGCTATTCAACTCAGGTTTGGCTTTTACACAACTTGACGGGATTCGAACCCAATTAAGGTTTTCAAAGAAAAGAAGGGTCAACGATCATTTCTCCCCATTATTTTTGAATACCATAATGATTATTAACTAAGTCTACCCGAAAATGCGTCGTTGATTTTGTTGAATAATGTGTAGCCATTGATGCGTCTTGGGTTCACCACTATCAGCCAGAGACTAAACAACAGCCAGAAGCAGTTCCGGAACGTCTCCTCTCAGCTAGCAAGGTGATGGCTTCGGTTTGCTAGGATTCCAAAGGAATCGTACTGGAGACTACCCCCCTCAATGTCAGACCATTAATGAACAATATTAATAATGCTAATCTGTTTTGGCAACTGCGTGAGTCTATCAAGTCTAAATGTTATGAAAAACTCACTCATTGTGTGTTGTGCCATCAGGACACTGCACCTGTTCACAAGTCTGTTGTTGCCATGGCTTCAATGTACGAATGTGGCTTTGAATTCATTCAACATCCTCAGTATTCACCAGATTTGACAGTGTCAGATTTCCACCTCTTCCCAAATTTACCCACCCCCAACAGAGCAGAGAAGAACGCCGGGTACAGCTATGACCACATTCCTGACGCTAAAGAGGGAGGTCATGGAAGATCAACAAATGTGAACACTGTAACAGTCTTCAACTTTACTGTTGGTGGTTTGACCACAAAGTCAACTTTTTTTACCCAACCTATTTTCTAATAGAGTGGTAATAGCCATGGCTTTCTTCCATTTGCTAAACCTAAACTGAATTAAATTGTTGCTGTTGTTGCCAGGCTATGATAATACTTCAGAAATAGAGGCAACAGAATTAGATCCAACATGCGAGTACATCCTGCGGAATGTTACCATCATGGTGATTTTCGATATTGATACTCATGAACGCATGGACCACTGAAGTCCACTGTGTATTTACATTCCCTGGAATAGACTGTTAAAGATGCACACTGGACGCAGGAAAACTAATAACGATGGTATTACCTTTTTAGATGTATCCAGAAATAATAATAATTTATATCATAAATGGTTGATTTGGCGTAGATAAAAAATAGTAAAACAATATGCAAGTGTGCTAACTACGCTCTTCCCTCAAGGAATGTACTTCTAACAACAACACATTTCGGTGTACCAGATTGTGACCCTGACATTGTATGGATCATAAAACTTTCAACAAACAAACGTTTATAATCGATATAGGGATTATCAAAATTGAGAAATAATGATATTTTGTAAAGTACGAAGAAACGATAATAAAGATGCGGACCTGCCCCAGCTTGATGAACTCATATGGTCATATTTTAAACGTAGTTCCTCATAACGATGGTACTAACTTGTAAGATGTATACAGAAATAATAATAATTCATATCATAAATGGTTGATTTGGCGTAGATAAAAAAATTGTAAAACAATATGCAAGTGTGTTAACAACGCTTTTTCCTCCAGGAATGTACTTCTAACAACAAGAAGAGACATAGAGATTATCAAAATTGAGAAATAATCCAGTAAAGTAAAGTACAAGAAACGATAACAAAGATTCGGACCTGCCCCAGCTTGATGAACTCATATTGTCATATTTTAATCGTAGCTATATAAAGTTGGGCCTCATAATCTCTCTGATCAGTATGATTATAACGAGGTAAAGGACGATCACACACGAAGACATTATGTTAACCATATAAAATGTCGCAATCATGTATTCTTTACTCTACTGGACATAGATACTGCAACTCTCATGCGTTAGTAAATGGTTCTCCACGTAAAAGTTAAACGACACAAGATTAAGCTTTGTTTGGTCATTGCAATCATTTATTTCATCTTCGTGGCTTGAAAACTGTGTTCATCGTATCCTATCTGACAACGCTAAGCACAATTGGAATGGGTATACTTCAAATTCAAGTAAATGTTCGACCTGCCCTATAATTATATCTTTAATTTAATTGTAAAGCTATTTGCAATTTATACCAAAGTTATTAACACTTACTTCTCACAACATATACTCAGTGTAATATGATAGCTGTTAGATAGAGAGGGAGAGGACGTTCAACAATATAATGACCATTGAATTTCAAATCTATTCGCGCCAGCTCTTATTTCGTCCTACAGTTAAACCGTCTAATAATTTGCCGCTGCCATTCGTTCCGGAAGCCGAGGTTGTATTGTCTTTTGCTATATTTCTTCAAACAGATCTCTGGTGTCCCCCGCCGTAATATTGCTGGAATATTGCTAAAAGCGGAGTAAAACCAAATTCACTCCCTCACTCACTCACTCAAACCGATCTGCCAATTCTGTGGACTGTGATTCTGTGATTTTGGTTACGAATCCATAACGTAATGTATAGAATATTAGACATGCTTCAGTTTGCTATCAAGTGTGTCCTGAGAGAGATAATTTACAATTTTCTTGATGATTACACCGAGGGCAACCTGGAAACTTATTTAATGAGGTACGTAAACTGTTTTGGGGTGGGGGCGAGGGCCTATTTACTATGTAGAGAAGCTAGGAAAAACATTTGATTGATAATGTATATACTCATGAATAAATCGTTTCATTTGTTGAGTTGAAAGTGTCCATATTCTTTACAAATGCATTTTCACGTGTGTTTTTTATGTTTTGTATTTTATCATTTAAAACTTAAGGAATATTTGCGGATAATAAAATAATAGAAACACACAATTATAAATTTGTATGTATTGACAATGCATACAGACAGAAGATGATACAAGTAGTATAACACATACACTGCCATACACTTAGCAGTCTTACAACATTGTAGATTCGGTGTACAACGCAAGCTTTACAGAAATATAGTCTCTAAACATGACATGAAGGCTCTACATACAAAGCCTCATCGGTTGACGCGTTTTCAAGATCAGCAGTTAATACATTTCACAGACGTTTCCCTAGGTACAAGTAATAGTAACAGCACAGTGATATACAGTTGGACATTTTAAACAACCAGATACCTACACATTGTCTCAGGAACTATGAAGCATTTTTTTTTTTTAAAAGTGTTTCTAAATTTGATGTTTCCATTAAAACTTTGGTACGTAAACATCAGTTCCATAAGAAATGCATGTAGGTAATTCCATATACTAGCATATCCGGCAATTCCACAATTCACATTATCAGCGTTACGGAAACCCCAGTGATTTCGATTGCTGCATTGATTTGTCTTTTGAAGGTGATTGTATGGTTCAACAAACTTATGGAAAATGTGATACATTAGAGTGTGATGGACTTGACAAGAGCATCGAGAGAATTAATGCCATAACGCTGGGGACATCTTGTACTGCCTATATCTTTCCCCTTCAGCTCGTCACCAACAATGATCTCCTTCCCCAGCTGCTTCTGACACCAGGCTATCACCTCATCATGGTAGGGTGTGGGGACGCCCGCGATCTGGGCTAGCCCTTTGGTCACCGCCAGGCCGTATGGTACATCCTCTGTCAAGTACCGGTAGCGAAAATCTGGAACAAATTTGCCATCTTCTGTTTCCTTCATCGGATGGACAAGGCCGTCATATGCCGTGTCTGTCTGCAAGACAGTTTGGAGACTAGTTGAATCTTTGATGTATGGTTTATGATCGCGAAGGTACCAGTCGTAAAGTTGAAGGACACCGGAAAGATTCACTTCCGGCCTCTGTGTCGCAATAGCTTTAGCCGTCGCCACTAACTCGTCACTTATACCGCCAAGATAACGAGCTTGATCTTCGTCAAGACCTTGATAGAAGAGGGGCTTCTTATCAAGTGGCTTACCATCCCAGTTCTTCCATTTGCCATACATTATCGGCGGATGGATTATAGCCTTCGTTGCAAGAATTGGTTCGATGTAATTATTTGCCACGGTAAGAATAGGTGCTTTTCCCATCACTCTCTGAACAGTTTCCATTGGATCATACGAAGGCATGCTCCGACCTCGAATTATACATCCCATGAGATTTACCTTTACCATCAGGATATGAACACATTTCCCAAATTCGGCGATCCTACATGCCCAAGGCAAAGACTCATACGACATGATGACACACTGATTGGCCTTGTCCTTAAGCACATCAAACACCTGGAACTCAAACCCAGGCTGACCGGGCATTCCAACAATGGTGGTGTTAGGTTGAATGTAGGGCTCAATGGCTTCAAGGTAGTTCTGATGGGCAAATGCTGGAGAAGTAAATATTATGACATCTGCTCCTGGAACCGCCTTTGATGCATCATTGGTGATGAAAGGCAGTTTAACATTGAAATCTATGGATTGTCCGTTTCTGATGCCAGTATCACCTTCGTCGATGGTAATTCTGAGATAATGATCCTTCATGATGTTCGTCCATCTTTCTGCACTGCCAGGAAACAACGTAAGGACCCTCGTTTCAATGTTCTCACGTGACGCGGCGAGGCCCGCTGCTGCATGGCCACCATTCCCTGCTCCACAAACAAGTACGGTAACTTGTTTTGCCATATATGAAGTTCAAAAGGTTGAAAATCTGAAAGTAGATAACACTTTATGTTGAAGGTGCGAGATGGGATTGGGAGCATTATATTTTCACATGCAGCCTACAATTGGCATAAATATGGAAACCAATTCCAAACATTATTATCCAACAAGGTGTATATTTGGTCAGTCAAAACTTAGCCCGGGATACTGACTGCACAATGACCCTACCACAAAGTGAATTCAAAATGGATTATTTTTACTACAGAAAGGCCGGCTTTCGCTGGGCTGACATGATCGTGCTGTTTTAGGACCTCGGGTACAATGTTTTCTACCCATAACTCTCCGCAATTTCCACATCGTATAGTCCTGTGCTTAAAGGAGTACAAAGCTCCGGCTAGTCTGTCTTCCAGACCCAAGAGAGTACAAACAGGGGTTAGAATGTTTTGGCAAGTCCAGTGTGCCTCAGCTCTGAAATTATGCATCGTTCTAGGCTCCATCTGAATTTTACTTAATATTTTGTGGATATATATTTTAAAACTAAATTATTTTATTTCTAGGACAAAAATGTTAGTTTAAGCTCAGGCTTCTACCCGGCTGTCAGACTGTACGCTGTTGGTTGTTCTTTGCAGATTTTTGTACAACAATCTTATTTCTTCAACTGGTGTTCAGTTCATATACTCAAAATATAATGTTTCAGGCAACTAAACGATGTTTCCAAGGATACGTTTGATGCCGCCCGTTATTAAGTAGCTCATGAAGTGCGCTTTTAACGCAGGATAAAGGACAGTCGGAGGTTTGATCTTTTAGCAAAGCAGAAAACAACAATCAATATGCCCTTTTTGTCGCCCATGATTCGTTGTATTTTTCAACACCCGTGTTGTTTTTATGTTGTTTAACGCCGCACTCAGGAATTTTTCAGCTAGACGACGGAAGACCAGACAATCCACTGTTTGACATCATGAGCAACGATCTACGCCACTAGGATACGATGACATGCATCAACCAAGTCAGCCAGCCTACTCCGCCGTCAGTTACCTTTTACAACAAGCACGAAGACCTATTCTAACACGAATCTCGCAATCTCATTAAATCCGATCTTAGTTATAGCTATGGCTTAACAAAGATTTGAGGACATCCCTTTACGGGTCACGTCACACCGACCTTGCGCGAACTTTGACCGACCAATAGAATGACCAATCAGAAGTCAGCTTTCTCGTGCTTTACGGCACTAATTTCAAATCGGCGACTACGCTTCGAAACATACTTTGGCAAATTCACGATTACAAATTTGAAATCTGAACTAAAGAACATTCTGGAATGGCTAATAGATTGTCTGGATTGTATGGATTCAGTTGTTAAACCCGTAACTATCGTTCGGAATACCCCGTGTTAAAGTTGCATGATTAGAAATCACATTCCGACTGTCACTTTCATAATCTGGTAAGCGATGCTCTGTTTGTCGGATGAAAGGTCGTTCTGACGTGACCCCTAATGGGATCTTGGTAGCGAGAACTAAGGTCTTTATTTACTAAGATTGCACGGGTCGTTATCTGCTAAAGCTCATAAACTGAGTTTCCCTCATCTACAGAATGCCAGTTTATGTCTGTTTTACAGGTATAATTAGTCGTAGCATGACTCCGTCCCTAAGAGAACCTGACAAAGACTGCGCACAATAAACATTCGCCTTCACTTGACATCGCCAACAACATGTATGCGGGCGACTTGGGATTTGGTTGTTCAGTATATTGGAGGTGTTTTACCGGGAGATCGACCTTTGATATTACAGCATAAATTGCTTTGATGTTGCCTGCAGGCAATGTGATGTTGTTATACGAGACATACTGGTGAGGGGTTGAAAAGTGCAACTGGGTTCCAAAATTGATTCAAATAGAGATTACATTATTTGAGTTTGAGCTCACCCACGACCAATCAGTGAGTTCAACTCATATGACATGAGTTCACTCACATAGTCACACAAGACGCTATTACTTTCAACTGTGGCAAATCAACAGATACGTCATATATTCGTTCCAACGTCACGCGAAAGAGAAATACACAGAACTACTTAAACACGGACTGCAGACTGCTGACATGGATGTCTTCCATTATGCCTCCCGCATGCTTCAATTGTCATGAACTGTGACAACTCAACTAAACATGTGTTCAAACTGTGACAACTCAACTAAACATGTGTTCAAACTGTGATACATGAGAAAACTGTGTTAGAAATGAACCACTCGCTTTGCTATTTTGTTACATCACAAAGGTCGATTTCACGGTCATTAACCAAATTGGAACGTCCACAGTAAGGCTAATTAAACAAAGGGTGGTTAGGTGAGATGGGGTTTACTTGTTATCTTTCCTGCTTAGCAAGCTGTCAAGTTTACAATTTAGACGAAGAGGGATTACGTTTAATAGAACAAAAGGATTAATCATCAGACTACCAATCAAGAATTCCAATACAATAATTGTAACAAATGAGAAATAAGTCCTTGACATCCATAAATTCTCTTCCTTAAATTAAAAATAGTCGCCATCAAAAACAAATATGCTACTCTGCTTCCTGAACATACTATGTAAGTCTTGAGTGGAATCTGGAATCTGTTCTGATACCATTGACCTTTATAATATTGAGAGCGCGTTTGTTTCAATGTAACTAGTCCAAAGACAAGTTTGTTTAGCGAATTGCGATTTTGCTGCGAATGTCAAATTATCGAGAGAAAAATCATAACATTCGTAAAAGATATTTAATAGTCCCAGTGGAGGTGCCGAAATCACATGTTACGTAATCGGCTTCCAAAACAAACCTGTTTGAGGGTGTGGCAGATATGCAGACTTGGTTGCAGCGTCCGGCTACTTCATAATTTATATTGTGATACTTAGTAGCTATGCATCCATTTTCTTTAAAAAAATGTCATGTTTTTTTATTGAATGAAGGAAGTTTACTGTCTAACAACACCAAGCTACTGCCATGTTTATCAACTCTCGTCAAGGCAGTCCTCATTGGACATTGAATATATTGTTGAGTGTGGGAAACGACCTTTGATCTTGACATCTCACTACTTACATCCTGTTTGGTACCATAAACCGCCTGTTGTGATTACATCACAAATAATCAGGGATTAATACAATAAAATGATGTATGTTCTCTGATTTTTCATAATATATTTCTGTTGTGTCTGTTCCTGCCGTTGGGGATGAGTTTTATTAAAGCCCTTTTCCAGTAGCGAATTATTTAAGTTCCCAAAGCAATCTATGAATGGCCAAAGATGTACAAATTACAAATGCATGTTTTCATTCCCGCAAGCGAAATGTTTGTTTAATATTTCTAAACTTATTAATGTAATAATTTCCAGTCCTATCACCTTGGTTATATTATTTAATGAACGTATATATGCATGCTTATGTACCACCGTTGTTTCTGAGAATAAATTCTAAATTGAATTACTAATTCTTGAAGTTGTGGAAACGATCATCTTTTTTTTCAAATTCGATTTCGGTCAAGCATTCGTGAGTACGCATTCCATGAAGCATTAAAATGTGCAAAGTTGCTGTGTTCATTTGACTTGGAGATAAGGATTATGGAGATACAAATGACGGAGAGGATTTCCTAGGCTTAACAAATGACATTATTAGTTCAAACTGATTATTAATACTGATAAATTAACAGTGATATTAAGTTACGTGTAAGAGTAAAGTATACTTTAAACGATGTACAGTACGACAGTTCGTATAATGGCTTCTGATGCAGAACACACGAAAGGTGTGCTTCACGCGATTCAATTGCCATGCATGCACATAAGATGTGTTTTACGCGATTCAATTAAGTAGTAATTCAGTTTTCATAAGATAATAAAGGAACTAATGTTAGTAGTTGCAATACATGTATAAACATGCTGCAGGCATACAGTATAACATGATATTCGGGTAACGTCGTATACAAAAAGGTCCTACCTGGAGGTAGAAATAGATGTAATGGTACAGGTGACGTAGAGCTATGTGCACACCGGGATCTTTTACAGGAGTAGGTCAATTAGATGGCGCTCACCTGGTCTTTTATTGCCAAAATGCTGATGACATAGAACGCAGTTTGCTCTGATTGGTCAAAATGTATTTTTATTGTTTTATATACGTAACTCAACCCAAGGATGATTTGACATGTGATTTCGTTTCTTGTGGATTTAACAATGCTCATGTAGGCAACGTAGTAAACATATTTGAATTGGCTTAGATAAAACAAAGGGGATTAAGCCGACGGCTACGCGAATCAAAGTCTCCAGGTGCCTTAAGGGCAACTACACGGTGCCTGCACGGTTTAACCTCACTGTGCCCTCACTCCAAATGTTGTTATACTGGATTATAGGGGATTAAGAGACACAGATCACTTAATGGCTTGGTATAGTCTGTGTCATTAAAGTGAACCCTCTTCTGAGGGTGAATTAATGTCTAACTGTTATTTGATGATAATAGGTGAACAGTTTTCTCATGTACATTATTAAATTCATAGGGATGATAAAAATTATATATGAGTGATTGATGTCAATCTTGGAAGTGTATAAAATGACATTTGGAAGTCATACTGCCATAACAAAATGGCTAATGTTCGATTTGTTGCTAATTCCCAAGGTGGACAGAACTTAGTTTTCAACGGACACAGATTCCGAATTAAGAACAGAAGAAACACCACCATACATTGGCGTTGCTGCAGGAAGGACTGTCCGGCGACAGGAGAGACGTGTGGAACCATTTTGGGACCCTGGATTCCAGGACAACCAATCACTTAGAAGGCTGGCACTCCAAGCTGATGAAATCGGGCCCAAGTCATCCAAACATCTTTAAATTTATTGACATTATCAAGAATGAACAATCACGTTCAGAGACATTATTGATGCAAATTCATGCCGGAGGACGACTGTCATCAAAGAGAAGGAAATATCTCCAAATTGACGACAACATCCTGATAGAGAAGGACAATTTGTTGACTGGCAGTCTGACACCATGTATATACTATTGAAATGTATATTTATTCATGCAATACGTAATCGATCA